GCCCCGGGCGCCCGGGGTACGCTCGGCTCTTCTAGTTGCAGCGCGGGCCACCGGGCTCGAGTGCACGGGCGGCCGGGCGCGGCTACGGGGCTGCGGGGTGGGGTCTCCTCGCCTCCTGCCCGAAGTCCTCCGCCCTAGGCGGTCTCCTCCCTGGAGCATTGGCCGAGTGCTGGAGCGGCTTGGGTGTGTTGCTGGAAGGAGTTGTGGCCGCCGAGACCGCCGCGTTCCACGCGCCCGATAGCAATCTCTGTGGAAGCTCCCAGGGCCAGAGGAAAAGTAGTGTAACTCCCTGTCCCCGCCCAGCCCGCGGCGTCCGGGGCTGCAGGGCAAAGCGATTTTCCCCAGCCCCTCCGCATCCATTGTTTGAACCGTCCCCTCCCCCATTCTAGGTAGAAGAATGACTCCAAAGCCTTAATTTGCCTCTCTTCTCTCTCTCTTTCTTTTGCCCCCCTCCTTCCTTCCCCCCACCTCCGTCCCTCTCTCTCTCCCCCCTTCCCTCTCTCCCCTCTCCCCTCCTCCCCTCAGCAGAGGGTTTGCGTTAACTGGAAGTAGGTTTACAAACAGGTGGATTGAATTGGAAGGAAGATGCTTTTGGGGTGTGTTAACAGTGTCACCCCTTACACTTGGCATTTGATTTTCCTTTTTTTTTTTTTTTTTTGGTCCGTTGGGTTGTATCATTATTGGGGGTGATGAGAATAAAAGAGGAAACACTTTGTGACCTACCTCCCCAAATGTTTTCGAAGTCCCTAGGGATGCTGAAGTAAAAATTAGCTTGCAAATGTTCCATGAGGTCAGTTTGCCCCCAGCGTGGTGACTATCAAGTCTCTAAGCTTACACGTGTTACCTTGTACCCTCTTGATGCACATCCTGAAGGTGTGCCATCTATTCAGGAGGATTGCCAAATCAAAAAACTTTTGTTTCTGTTTTTCAGAATTCTAGGATATGCTTGTGCCATCAAGTGTTTTGTATTTAAATCAATATTGACAAATAGCTTTAATATTAAAGGCCTAAGTTTTTGTAGCACTAATCTTCACTGTCACCCCTCCTTGGTATGGCCTTTATAACTGTTACTTTGTATTTGAAGAGAGTTAACTATTACTTACAATTTGTAACATTCAGTGAGTTTACAAGTTAAATTATACATGTATTTGAGTTTATTAAATGTTTTTATTTTTCCATGTGACAAAGACAGATTTTAATAGCTAACAATTCTCCCCACATGGAGTTTGGGCTGAATAAAATAAACTTTTTACTTTAGAATTTATAGTTTTGAATATGCATTTAAAAATCGCAAAAATAAAAGTTTTGGTCTAAGGTTTGCATATTTCAAAGGGATTAAAAATTAGCATAAAGCTAACAGATATTTTTGAAATTGCAATTTGGCATTATGACATGGCCTGTCTCTAACAGTACTGTATTTTGCCAAGGTTCAGTTTTTGAAGAAACAATTATATTTGTTTCCATTGGCATTTGTTATCTCACTGTATTTTCTCTTCTTATTTAGAAATTGATGTGAATTGAAGAGTGGTGGTGTAAAGAGATACATCAATAATCTTGAACCTGAATATTTTATTATTATTTTTTTAAACTATCATCTTCAGAAAGTTGAACAGAATTGTTAATTGGTAATTGTAGCAAGTAAGAGCATATATCAACGTGTGAACTGTAAACCAGTCAAATTTGAAGTATATTCATGTTTAAATAGGAGCACCAAATTACTATTTTGCAGAAATTCTGTACCTAAAATATCACGTTGGACTGAGGGTGTAGCTCATTGGTAGAACATTTGCGTAGCATATACAGTGCCCTGGATTTGATTATAAATAAATGAAAATATAAATAAAAATTAAATAGATTGTTGTTTCTTCTCTGATTTGGGACAGGACAGAATGACATTCCTTCTCCCAGACATAAACTGGGATTCTCTATGAAAAAGTTCTAAAGATCGCTACTGAATAGTTGGCTGAGCTATAAATGTATTTATATATACATAAGTGTTTTTTGCTTTGGATTATCCATATTAATTTTGAGTAAAATTGGGACGCTGTTTACAAGTAGTTAAATTTTAGCCCTTTTTCTTTTGAGGCTAGGGCTTGCTTCTGACTGACCTGGCCTGGAACTCTATCTACAGAGGCCTGCCTGCCTCTGTTTCTCTTGAATGCTGGATTTAAGGGCAGGTACCACTATGCCTGGCCCTCCTATTTGTTTTTCAAATGTGCTGATTATCAATATTTCTTATATGTTAAAGATGTTTCTGAATGACTTGTGTTCTTTAAACAATTTCATGAACTTTTTTTTCTTTATTTGGTGAAAAGATACTCAAACAGAAACACTCTTGACATTTTATGCCAAAACAAAAGCAAACAAAAAAGACCATAGTATGTGTAGATGTAAAGATGCACATTTCTGGAGTGTGAAGATTAAATGAAAGAATATCCTCAAATTTCAGTTTGCTATGTCTTTCATGTGTCTTTCATATATGAAACGGTATAAAATCTGTGCTTATAACAAGACAAAATCCAAACAGAAAAAAAAAATGAAACAAATAAGTTAATTCAGATCTTGCTGTGAGTTCTGAGGTTTTTAAAAATTTTTATTTAATATTTAACATTTTTGTGTATGAGTGTATTGTCTGCATGTGTATAAATACACCTGTGTTGTACAGTGCCTGTGGAGCTCAGAAGAGGGCATCAGATCCCCTGGAACTAGAGTTACAGATGATTGTTAGCTGCCATATGGGTGCTGGGAATAGAACCTGGGTCCTCTGCAAGAGCAGCCAGTGCTCTTAACTGCTGAACCATCTCTCCAGCCCCAAGTTCTGAGGTTTGTGACTGGGACTTGGTGAAAGATTTTAGAACTTGTTTATAAAAATTAGTTAAAAGAGGAAACTTATAAGAAATATATAAAAATAAGTATTTTGACACTTCTTGACTATTAGAGAATGGATATTTTGTTGTAGATAAATTGGATAATGATACTTTAAGTACTTTTGGATAATGATACATTAAGTACTTTTATGTGATCCTTGAAATGAATCCTGTATTAGGTTGGTCAATAATTTTGTTCATTGTTAGACTTACTGCATTTCATTCATTGTATTTTGTATTACATGCTTTATAATTTAAGGATAATAAACCAAAGCATGAACATTACCACCTGCTAATCCTTGTATCCTATTGGAACTGCTTAGTTTTCTGAATTTTGTTTCATATACATGTGCATCAAAGATGTGTCTTATAAATCTTTTTAGAAACATTTTCTCTGTTAATATAATGTTTGTATTTTCTTATCTACCTATCCAAACTTGACTTTTAAAATTTGAAGTTTCATGCTTGACATTGGCATGTTCTAGGGTATCTGAAATGTGCTTGTTAAAGAGTGCAAGTTGAAGGAAAACATTCTAAGTCTAAAAGACTTATTTTCTAAAATAGGCAGCTAATTATTTTAAAGTAAGTTTTTATTTACTATTCTTTCTTGTTCCCAACTTTTTAGCAAAGCATCTAAAAAGCAAAGTTTGAACACATAAAAAGAATATAATTGTGAAGAGCCCTTAAGCCTTTGAGATGCTAGTAACATGTGCATCTTTAGTAAGTGTGCAGCTCTCATTATCAAAGATTGGAAGAAAACTAGATTTCACACTATATACATCTCATTCCAACTTCTGAAGATTGGAGCTAATGGCACGAAGTAGTGTATTTCTGAAAAAGGAAGGGATTCTTTCATAGGGAAGAATGACATTGCTTGTAGCTAACCATTACAGGAGACCTTTTTTGGGGGGTCCTTTGAGACAAGGTCTCCCTCTAGCCCCAGCTAACCTGGAACCTGATATGTAGACCAGGCTGGCTTTGATCTCAAAGACGTCCGTCTGCCTTTGCCTCCTGAGTGCGGGCATTAAAGATGTGCACCACCACACCTGGCTCCCAAAAGATTTAAAAAAGATAAAATGAGCCCCTAGTGAAATACACCTGAAAGACTTTTTTTTTTAAATTTTATTTATTTTTATTTTATGTGTATGCGTGTGTTGCCTGCATGTAGGTAAGTGCACCCGTGTCATGCAATGCCTGCAGAGGTCAGAAGAGGCTGTCGGATCCCCTGGGACTGGAGTTATGGACAGTTGTTAGCTGCCATTTGGGTGCTGGGATTCAAACCTGGGTCTTCTGCAAGAACAACCAGTGTTCTTAACT